TATAATATCAATGCAATTCCATGAGGGGTATAGAGTGTCCAGATACACAGGGCTCCTGGTGCCACCTTTAGCACTTTTTCCTGCTACAGTCCCTCTACCTAGTTATTACAAATCAAGCTCTGGATATGACTTGAGAAAACAGAAAAAAGGGTTTGCCAACAAACTTTTCAGTAGTGATATGCAGTTTGTTTCCTTCCTGTTTCTCCTTTGTTCTGTAGTGATTAAGTTTGCTGCAAAAGGGAGGTATTAGTAAATGAGAAGGCTTTTGAGCTACATTCAGTCATTTTGATTAGCATCTTCGGTAACTTCTTTTTCTCTCATAAACATATGGCAAAGCAACATGCACTGTTCCAATGATTGTGATTTCAAGTCTAAAGTACTATTTGTTTATTCTTGAAACCTGAAACAAACATCTGGTGGTTAATGCTTTGAGAAAAAAAGCACCTTAGTGCATTACCTCTGTCTATGATTCAAGATAATGGGCAAAAATATTATAAGCAGATGAGATTAAGCCACAGGAGTTTGTTGGTCCATTCAATTTACAAAAAAAATTTTAAGAACTAAACTTTGTTTCCTCTAAAGTAGGAAAGGCAGTAGAGACGGTGCAATAATCTTAAGGACCACTTCCTTCCTGCCTCATCTTGTACTTTATATAAAGAGTGTATCTAGTATAGATCCTCTCATTAGAAAAAGAAAGATTTGAATGTTTTCTTATAACCATCCCTTAGATGCTCAGAATCATTGGCAAACTGACAGTGCAGTTTGTGTATACTCTCGGGTTCATGTTACCATGCATTTTTTGTCAACACTAAAACTCCAACACTAAAACTTCTTTGCCAATTTGTTTTAATACTTCATATTTTAAGGTTTATTCTAGCTCACCCTTTCTATTGCAGTATGACACCTGGAATAAAATTTGAAATGAAGATGTACTGTCCTTTGCATTGTTGCTCATCTTAGGGGAAAAATTGGTTATTTTAAATATATTAGTATATTTAGCATATTAGTATATTTTTTCAGTGTTTTTGTCTGTTAAGGCTACCATAGCAAATACGACAGGCTGGACAGCTCAAATAATAGAAATTAATTTTCCATAGTTATGGAGGTTGGACATCCAAATTCAAGGTACTGGCAGTTTTGGCTTCTCCTGAGACCTTTCTCCTTGGCTTGCAGGTGGTCAGCTTCTTGCTGTGTCCTCACATGGCCTATCTCCCGTGCCTGTACACTTCTGGTGTGTCTTCCTCTTGTAGTAAGGACACGAGTCATGTTGGATTAGGACCCACCTTCCTGATCTCATTTACATTTATTACCTCTTCAGAGGCCCTAGCTCCAGATTACAGTCACATTAAGGGTTAGTGCTTCCACATATGAATTCTGGAGGAACACAATTCTGTCCATAATGTGTAGCAATGCTTATTAATCAAATATTCTGTAATATCTTCCCCTTGAGAAAAAAATAAAATCTTAGGAAGGAAAGTGCTAAAATTATCATTTATATGTGTTATCAAGTTACAGGAAGTATAAATTTATATGTGACTCCTTTATATGAGGTGTCATTTATAAGTGAAAGCACATAAAATAACCCTTAACTCCATTTTTCAACCTGTCTCAATAGAACTCACAAATATTTAGTAAAAAAAAAACAACCCAGCACACTAGCAAGTCACAGTCCCACACACTATTTGCCAGGAGAGACCAAGAAATAACCAGAATCAGAAATTCTGGGTGGGGCTGCTGCTCATGCCTCTCTGTTCTGAGGTCAGATCTACAGATTGTTAACTTATTCTCTGGGAAGTGTGGATTCTATATTTGAAAGCAACCTGAACCCGACTTAAGTGGCTTCAAAAAGCACAGCCACAAGCCTGAGGAGCTTCAGCCACAGCACAATAAAACAAAGGCTGCTGCAGTGTTGGCACATGAATACAAGTTGGGGTAACCTTGTCCCTTCCTAAGGCGTAGACCACCTAGTTTTTTCAGAACACCGTGTTCTGTCAGATCATTTACAATGTTCCCATTTCTTAATTTTTTTAATTCCCTTTGGTTAAGGGTTGCCACATGTAGTGAATAAAAGATGGCTCCGAAGGTAAAGAATATGCCTGCAATGCAGGAAACCTGGGTTTCATCCCTGGGTAAGAAAGATCCCTTGGAGAAGGGAATGGCTACCCACTCCAGTATTCCTGTCTGGAGAATCCCCATGAATAGAGGAGCCTGGCAGGCTACAGTCCATGGGGTTGCAACGAGTCAGACACAGCTGAGCAACTAACACTAAGAAAAATATAAGATGCCCGGTTAAATTTGAATTGCAGGTAAACAATGAATATGTGCGTGCATGGTCAGTCACTTCAGTCGTGTCCGACTCTTTGTGACCCTGTGGACTGTAGCCCGCCAGGCTCCTCTGTCCATGGGATTCTCCAGGCAAGAATACTGGAGTGGGTTGCCATGTCCTCTTCTAGCTTCCTGGGAAGCCAGCCCAGGGATTAAACCAGCATCTCCTGTGATTCCTGCATTGCAGGCAGAGTCTTTATTGCTGGGCCACCAGGGAAGCCCAAACAATGCATATATTTTTACTATAAATATGTCTCAGGTGATATTTGGGACATACTTATACAAAAAAATAAAATTCCTTCATGGGACATACTAATATCAAACAGAAGTATTTGTTATCTTAAATTCAAGTTTAACTGTGGGTCCTCTATTTTATCTGGCAACTCTACTTAACAAGAATGAATCCTCCTCTTGCATCTTTCTTCCTGGACTCACCACCCTCTTAAACTTCTATCACCAACTTTGTATATTTAATTTCCTACTCTTAATTTGCCACTGCCCCCAAGGGTGAAAACCCCATTTCAGGCTCCCTTGCATGATACTAATTTGATATATGGTTATAGATTGTTGTTGTTTCATTGTTGTCCAATTCATTTGAGACCCTATGGGCTACAGTCCACGGGCTCATAAAGAGTCAGACACAACTGAGTGACTAAGCATAGCACAGCATGGATGGTAGACCAGGCTCTGTCCATGGGATTCTCCAGGCGAGAATACTGGAGCGGGTTGCCATTTCCATCTCCATGGGATCTTCTTGACCCAGGGATGGAACTCAGGTCTCCTACATTGGCACTCAGAGTTAAAACATTAGTTTGATCCACCTTTTCCCCCATGCTGAAATATTTACATCTTTATACCAATGCCCCATAATACTACTTTGATCACATGAGCTAATACTGTGTGCTTAATAACACGGGAAAGAATCTCTAAGCCTCTAAATCTCGAAACCCTGGGCTCAGTCAGCTCACCTGTAAAATAAAAGGACTGAATCAAGGTATTTTCCCCCAAGGCTCCTTTAAACAGTTCCTTGCCACAGGTCTTTGAAATGCAGATTCTGTTAATGCTCTCATTAGCCTTGTGAGACCTAATTATTACTATTTCGGGTGAACCTCTCTTCCCTTCAAGTAAGTAGTGTTTCAGTCAGTTCAGTTAAGTCACTCAGGCGGGCCCACTCTTGGCGATGCCATGGACTGCAGCACAACAGGCCTCCCTATCCATCACGAACTCCTGGAGCTTATTCAAACTCATGTCCATCGAGTCGGTGATGCCGTCCAACCATCTCATCCTCTGTTGTCCCCTTCTCCTCCAGCCTTCAATCTTTCCCAGCATCAGGGTGTTTTCCAATGACTCAGTTCTTTGCATCAGGTGGCCAAAGTATTGGAGTTTCCTATCTTCAACATCAGTCCTTCCAATGAATATTCAGGACCGATTTCCTTTAGGATGGACTGGTTGGATCTCCTTGCCGTCCAAGGGTCAAGAGTCTTCTCCACCACCACAGTTCAAAAGCATCAATTCTTCAGCACTCAGCTTTCTTTTTGGTCCAACTCTCACATCCATACATGACTACTGGAAAAATCATAGCTTTGACTAGATGGACCTTTGTTGGCAAAGTAATGTCTCTGCTTTTTAATATGCTGTCTAGGTTGGCCATAGCTTTTTTCCAAGCAGCAAGCATATTTTAATTTCATGGCTGCAGTCACCATCTACAGTGATTTTGGAGCCCCCCAAAATAAAGTATCTCACTATTCCCATTGTTTCCCCAGCTTTCACCATGAAGTGATGGGACCAGATGCCATGATCTTAGTTTTCTGAATTTTGAGTTTTAAGCCAGCGTTTTCACTCTGCTCTTTCACATTCATCAAGAGGCTCTTTAGTTTCTTTTCACTTTCTATTAAAGGGTGGTGTCATCTGCATATCTGAGGTTATTGATATTTCTCCTGGCATTCTTGATTCCAGCTTGTGCTTCATCCAGTCTGGCATTTCACATGATGTACTCTGCATATAAGTTAGGTATGCAGGGTGACAAAACACAGCCTTGATGTAGTCCTTTCCCAATTTTGAATCAGTCCATTTTTCCATGTCCAGTTTTAACTGTTGCTTCTTGACCTGCATTCACTGTTCTCAGGAGGTAGGTAAGGTGGTCTGGTATTCCCATCTCTTAAAGAACTTTCCCCAGTTTGTTGTGATCCACATAGCTAAAGGATTTGGCATAGTCAATAAAGCATAAATATATGCTTTTCTGGAATTCTTTTGTTTTCTCTATGATTCAATGGATATTGGCAATTTGATCTCTCATTCCTCTGTATTTTCTAAACCTGGGTAGCTGCTCCCTTCTCCAGGGGATCTTCCCAATCCAGGGATCAAGCCCAGAACTCCCACATTGCAGGTGGATCTTTACCAGCTGAGCCATAGGGACACCCAAGNCCATTTATTTTTATTAGTTGGAGGCTAATTACTTTACAATATTGTAGTGGTTTTTGCCATACATTGACATGAATCAGCCATGGATTTACATGTGTTCCCCATCCCGATCCCTCCTCCCGCCTCCCTCCCCATCCCATCCCTCTGGGTCTTCCCAGTGCACCAGCCCCGAGCACTTGTCTCATGCATCCAGCCTGGGCTGGCGATCTGTTTCACACTTGATAACATACATGTTTCAATGCTGTTCTCTCAGATCATCCCACCCTCGCCTTCTCCCATGGCGTCCTGACTGTCATTCCTTTCTTGGGAACGGGAGCCCCCTCTGCGGGGTCGGGGACCGCCGTCCGGGAGCCGCTCCTTGTTCTCTTCCGCCATCTAGTGGTGCCAGGCTTGCTCTCCTCGCTCCACTTGCTGTTCAGAGCTGCAAAGATTTCAGATCGTAAATCAAATGGATGAATCGTTTTATTCTTGTCATTACAGTAAAAAGGACTTATAGCGTGTTTCTAGAGATAAAAATGTAATTTTTTGATTAAAAAATAAGTATAACACAATAAAAGACTTTAATACCTGCACAGTATAGATTAAATTCATGTAATTTAATCTCTTTAATATGTTCCAATGTTAACTTAAAGACAAAAGTACAAAAATATAAACTAGGCTAAGGAGTTCTGAGGAAAGATTATCTTTCTCACGGGCTTCTGTATAATGTTCATGGATTTTTAAATTTCAAATAAAAGTGATCGAAGCAGATAAAAAAATGAAAGGAAAAGGAAATAAAGTTCTGATAGACCTTAAATTGTTTAGAGAGAGAAATCTCAGCTCTTTATTTAACCATTTGACTTCAATTAAGTTAGAACTTATTATCATTATTATTTATACATGCAATACAATGTTTAATGAATGTTGAATTCGGTTTTAATGTTCTATAATGTAGAACTTTCTTCAGATGGCATAATAGTGAATTTAATTGTGTGATTCAGAAAAGTGAAAATAAATTTCTCTAATGAATGAAACAAAATATTTCTGAAGTGTGACTTATTTCCCATTAAAACTTTTATTTCTGACATTTTAACATCATTCTGGTTTTAGTTTTCTTTTTATTTAAAATGCCTATGCTATCATGCAGTGTTTAGGTTTTTCTAATAAAAACGCATTTAATTGCAGTGCCACTTCAACCTTTAATGCACTTGTGACCCAGCTGTAAAAATCTCCAATTTGTTTTCCAGGGTGGGAAAATTCCCATAAGGTGGACAGCCCCAGAAGCTATCGCCTACAGAAAGTTCTCCTCGGCAAGTGATGCATGGAGCTATGGCATTGTCATGTGGGAAGTCATGTCCTATGGAGAGAGACCTTACTGGGAAATGTCTAACCAAGATGTAAGTGCCATCCGTGGTTAAACCGCCCCTTTGAGTGCAGACACATTATCACTGAGGAAGAAACACACCCTTTGTCCTCACTCAGACTAGCCCTTGTCTTCCTGAGAGTTGTCCAGGGTTTGTGGCTGAAGTTGAGTCGCCATTCACTCTGAGCTGTGATTGGTGTGGTAAGGGCCAGCTGATGGGCTTTGTCACGGAAGTACCTATCCATGTCTTACATCTAATACTTAACACACACATGTGGTTCTAAGGCAACCTGACTGTGCTAGGCAACAGCCTTGCCCTACAAGTGTCAAAAAACAGAATAATGTTTACCTTTCATTTCTTCCTTAGGGCAATTTAATGTAGCACTGTAAACAGCAAATTAGGAGAAAATTTAGCAGAAAAATATTAAATGCTTTCAGGCAATGTGTTATCAGTACATCATCTAATACTATGGTTCTTTGGAGATACATGACCCTTTTTGCGATCTATTTTATCTGTAAAAGTTACCTTGGTGGCTATAGAATATTATAGAAGAGGGTAGTTACCACACATTTGATCTCTATGGACTGTTGGAAGTGGTAGAGACAGTAGTCAGAATATGCTAGAATCCTGACAATGCAAGTGAATGTGCTATCAGATCTGCAGATACCTTTTCATACCCCACTCCCTCAGCCCAGAATCCAGACGCTGTCCACTCACCTGCCTTCCTCAAAGTATCTAACAGTTTCTGAGACAGTGGTAATGGAAAGTCAACTCTGGTGGGATTCTGAATGTTCACAGATGGAAACAGAGACTGCGTGGGTATGGATTTTTTAGAAAATCCATAAACGTAGTCAACTCTTGTCACATCTCTTCTGTTTTTTCCATTCAACTGCTTGAGCCTCACCTCCACACCTAAAACTAATAACCCAACCCAAACCCAAACAAGCCAAAAAACCTAAAGGGTTGGTCAAGGAACAAAAAAAGGTAAACCTTTTTGAATGCTGGACACCAAGACGACTGGGTTTTGGTTAGCTCACCATGACTTTAGTTTCTTCCTGACTTGGAGTGTTAATTCCAAAGCTGAGTGCCTGCTCTTGTGCCTACTGACTCCGGAGAATGCCAGGTCCAGAACCTACATGTAGCAGGTTCAAGGTCATCAAACGCTGTGCAACCATGCTCTTTAAAGCCCTTCATAAAAACACAAAGCCAGGTGGCTTAGTCCTGCAGAGCATTTTCCCTTAAGTACAGACTGTGCCATGACCAGCAAACTTTGATACACTCATACACTCCCAATATTTAAACTTTACTGTCCTTAAAGGAATTTTATTTGAAGGACCCTGTTGCTCTTTTCTGCCTCTGGGCCTTGTTTGGAGCAACTTGTGTCCAGCTCTGCTTCTTAAAATTGAATCCCAAGAGCAGAAATTCATCCCTTCACTCCCAGAAAAACTCATCTTTTTTAACCAGCCATCCAAGGTAACAGACGCCCTGGATTCAGTCACCTACTTCATAGCTCCTTCATAGCTTCATGGATTCATAGCTCCTACTCTACTCTTAACCCATGATAATGCTTGCCTGCTTGTCCTACTGTGACATGACTAAAATAGGCCATTCAAGCAAATCTCTAAAATAAAAAGTCCTCCTCCAGATGAATGAACATATTCACTGCACAGAAGAGCCCTCAGTTCAAGTACCTTCCTTAACTGGTGTTCCACATAGTCCTTGTCTTAACCAGTTCTCTGTCAGACTTAAAATAAAAAATTGCCTAACTCAGAGGACTCCAAACTTTACTAATAATATACCCTTGCCAGTAAAAAGTTCTTGAGCATTCACAACTGACATATGTGTATTTATCTGCACATTATATACAAGTACTACTGTACTAATACATTCATTTTTTGTTTAAAAAGTAATTTGTTGAGTATCTTCTCAGGAAGTAGAGATACAAGGGAAAACAAATTGGATTGAACTTTTATGAAACTGAGGTTTAGGGAGGTGACATGATGTCCCTAGAATCACATAGTAAGTGCTTTGACAGTGATACTAAACAACAATTCTAATAACCTTCTAGAAGTCATGGGCAAGGAGGAGGAAAGAGGAAATAACTGCCTCTTTCATGGTGTTTTAGTTTACGTCCATAGGCCAGTGATTTCTTGCCCTCATTGAGTTTATAGTCTAGCAAGAGGGAAACAGACTTTGCACAACGTAAATCAGTAAAATATGTTAAATATATAAATATATTGCCAAATATAGTTGTAAAAGTCATCCCATTTTGGTCGTAAAAGTCATAGTCATTCTTATTGCTGCTCTGCTGCTGCTAAGTCACTTCAGTCGTGTCCGACTCTGTGCAACCCCATAGACGGCAGCCCATCAGGCTCCCCCGTTCCTGGGATTTTCCAGGCAAGAGTACTGGAGTGGGGTGCCACTGCCTTCTCCGGTCATTCTTATTAGACATGAATAAATAGTCTTTCTTACAGTAAGATGGGGTTTCCCAGGTTGCACAGTGCTTAAAATCATGCCTGCCAATACGAGGGATGCAAGAGACTCGAGTTCAATCCCTGGGTCAGAAAGATCCTCTGGAAAAGGAAATGACAACCCACTCCGTTATTCTTACGTAGAAAATTCCATGGACAGAGGAGCCTGGCGGGCTTCAGACCATGATGTCACAAAGAGTCGAATGCGACCGAGTTTACGCATGCGCACGCGCACACACATCCGCGCGCGCACACACATCCACACACGCACGCACGCACTAGGATAAGACAAACATAAAGAGAAGTTCTGTTATTTTTCTATTATTTTCTGGATTATCATTTTACCACACGGGGTACTTTGTACCACCAGTTTGGTAACCACAACCCCCATTCAGTTCAGTTCAGTTCAGTCGCTCAGTCGTGTCCCACCCTCTGTGACCCCATGAATCGCAGCACGCCAGGCCTCCCTGTCCATCACCAACTCCCGGAGTTTACTCAGGCTCACGTCCATCGAGTCGGTGATGCCATCCAGCCATCTCATCCTCTGTCGTCCCCTTCTCCTCCTGCCCCCCATCCCTCCCAGCTAAAACAACCGCCCTTAGGTAGACTGTAATTCAGCCATGAAAATGCCTCAGTTTCATGACCAACCAATATAATAAAAGGATGAGGTTAATGATATTTAATATCCCTTTTAACAGTAACATGCTATGTCTTTATAATCTCTGGAGAAATGATAATCATACTTGTCTCAGCAAAGAAATGGTTCACATTGTTCTTTTCTTCAGTTTAGGAATTTATGTGAAGGCACAAGTATCCGATAGAACCTCCACAGAGCAAAGCGTGTACAAGTGTAGATCCAGATGACAAGACAGATTTTCTAGGAGAGCAACTTCTGAGAGAAAAGGCCTAAATGTGTAATTTCCAACATGGACCCCCTTGTAAACTGTCCTTAGTTGCTGCCTAGAGCAGTCCAAAATCATGATGTCAGCTCCTCCCTTCCTGAATCATGTCCAACAGTTAGCCCAGTCATTCTGGCCCTGTGTGTTGATGATCTGCGTCCAGAATGAACATTTAAGAGAGCCATGCTGTCTATTAAACCTCATATGGCCATAAAGACCATATCTGGAATCAGAAGAAGTTGCTGCAGCCAGGAATAGACTCCTGACATTAAGCCCGTCCTCATTCATTCTGTGTTGTAAACGTCCACAGTGCAAGGCTGAACGCTCCTCCACCCAGCGCTTTGTTGTTTTTCAAGGACCAGATAAGGGGTAAGCTAGTTATTTTCACGGTCTTTGAGTGGCTACCAAAGAATATGTAAGCAAGAATCTGAAACGAGGAGTAGAACAGAAATTTCTGAGGGGAAAAAAAAATGCCAAACCCTTGAGATCCTCAGATCAATATGAGAGGGAAGTACTAAAAGAGCTAAAATCTTTTATGTATTTTGTGAATGTATTTCCTGCTGCAGTGAAGAGAGTTGAAATTCTGTTTAGCTTAACATATTGGAAGTCAGTGTATCTGTGACAGATCCTGTAACCAGAATTTCTGTTTGAAAGCAGAAATAGCTTAATCAAAACTTTCTGAGTTGCTCTCTCCAAATACTGGTTATTTCCCATTTATCCTGAATCTCTCATATTTGGTCAGAGTTCAGTCTTGTATTTGACTTTCTGCAACCAATGTGTGTTTTAAATAAGAAAAGTCATTTTTAGACAATAAAAGTTCAACTATTTTCTGTTTGAATATTTTATATTTTTATTACATTTTGTGGAGTTTAATTTAAGGGCTTAGCTAAATATGGAATGTTAACATGCTTTAGAATTTTAAATGAGCTTAGGAAACTTCAGGTAGTTTTTATGAAGTTGTCCCTTCATTCTGCAGACTGTGGCATATTTTCTTGCAATGAACAATTCTGAGTTTGCATAGTCTATTTTAGTGAAGAATATAATGAGTTTCCCAAAAGTCAGTAGTAGTGTACATTAGGGAATATACATAAGGAAATGAGAAAAAGCAGTGCAGAAGACTAGTCCATGTATGGCCTACCAATGATAACAGTAGATGCCAAATGCTTAGTCATTCAGCAGATACTGATTAAACTCATGCCAGTCACTGGGCGTGTGGGTAGGTCTGGAGAACTTGAAAATCCAGCCCTCACTCTCAAAAAGCCCTCTGTGTAGGTGAGGAGATGAAGTTCTGGCATTTCTAAGTCATGCTCCTGCCCCCAACTAGAACCTATGCTCCTCAAGGATAGACCTCAGGCCTTCTTTTTCTCTTTAATATAAACAACATTGTGTGAATGCAACATAGTTATTTTTTAACATATGCCAAAAAAAAAGCTTGCATACCCTATTATTTAAGGTATTTTTGATTATATAACCTTTCCCAGTGGCTCCGCAGGTAAAGAATCTGCCTGCAAAGCAGGAGACACAGGAGACGTGGGTTTGATTCCTCAGTCAGGAAGATCCCCCGGAGAAGAAAATGGCAAGCCAGCCCAGTTTTCTTGCCTGAAAAGTCCCTTGGATGGAGGAACTTGAGGGCTGTGGTCCAAAGGGTCACAAAGAGTCGGACACGACTGAGCAACTAAACACAGGCAATTATAAAAAGTGCCTGATACACAGAAGATATCTAATTAATTAGTGGTAATAATCATGGCTTGCAATTTCTGAATTTATTGTGAGTCAATTATTTTAGATTATTGACTCTTTTAATCTTCAAAATAATGCTCTAAAATTGATACTATTTTTATTCCCATTTATAGATAAAAGGCTTTCTAGAAAATTTAAGCAACTTACCCAAGGTTGTATGTTAAGTCACTTCAGTTGTGTCCAACTCTTTGCAACCCTATGGATTGTAGCCCACCAGTCTCCTCTGTCCATGAGATTCTCCAGGCAAAAATATCAGAGTAGGTTGCTTGCCCTCCTCCAGGGGATTTTCCGGACCCAGGGTTCGAACCTACTTTTCTTACGTCTCCTGCATTGGCAGGTGGGTTTTTTACCACTGGTGCCACCAGGGAAGCCCCAACCCATGATAGAAATGAAGTTGGAGACCCCTGCTTTCCCCAAAATATGTGCTTTTACCCCTGAACTATACTATAGAAGTCTTAATTTTATTTTACTTATTTTTTTTAGAAGTCTTAATTTTAAAGGAGTCTCTATACCACAGAAGCCCTATGAAATGAGATCAAAGCATCTTTAATTATGTATGCCTCTGTGTCACAATAGAAGTGTTTCTATTATTTCCTATCAGCAAAAGAATGTGGATTGACTCACTGTTGTTTGAAAGTATAAATCTTTTCAGCAGTACTTTTTGTCTTGATGTTAAAAATTTGTAAAATGTACTGTATTATATTTCTTAAAAATGTTTAAGGCAGTAGCTTAAAATAAAATTCTAATGGTCCACATATTTAGCCTATTACCAGAAACATGCCACAGGCACATTGAAGGCACAAAGTTCCTTGCTGTTTTCTAACATTTTTAAACTTTTTTTTAAGGTATCACAGTATAATGTTTTATGTTATTTTCATCCGAGTTCAAAATAATTGTTGTTTGCTACATAATAGGAGTACATTGTAATGCTAGGAACTACGCTGTCTCCAAAGATGACACCAAGGGTATTGCAGTTCTTCCAACACTTATACTATGGAATGTGCTTAACCAAAGAAAATGCAAGCAAAACATGAACAGCAGGCACCATTAAGTAACCAAATCCCTACAGAGCTAATATGTCAGGGAAAAACTTGCACCACGTAAATGAGCGGTGACTTTGCTCAAACTAATGATCTGAATGCAAGGCTAGAGACTTGGGTTTTGTCTGTTTTGTTTTTCCCTAGCATGTTTTAAAAAAAAAAAGAAAAGAAAGAAAGAAAAAGAAACGATTTGCCTTGAAGCAGTTTGAAGCCCAAATGCCTCCTGGGTATGGTATCATTTAGGCATATGCTACTAAGCCTGTTCAATTTCCCAAAAAGAGAACTGCTATCAGAGAACATCTCATTTGAGGTTTACTAGGAAACATAA